TGGGAACCTCAGCCGTTCCTCCCCACCTGTTATGGCGCACCCGCTGCAGCTCCACCCCAGGCCAACCGCCCCTACCCCCCACCCCACCCCGGCCCCCCACCCCCCGCAGGTCCAGCAGCGCGTGTCGCGGCTCTCCTGGCTCCGCCGCACCGTGTACCTGGCCATGTACGGCAAGAAGCGTGCCGTACTGGCGGCGGGGGGGCGGCCCGAGGAGCCCGCGCTGCGACTGCCGCTGTGGCCGCCGCAGCTGCCCGCGCTGCAGCAGCTGCTGCCCTGGGGGGGTGGCAGGGGCAAGCGCCGGACACCCACACCCGCACCCGCACCCGCACCTGCACCCGGCTCCGCCTCCGGGATCCCAGTCGCACCTGCTGCTGCTGCTGCCGCGGCGGCGGGGGCGGAGGCAGCGGGTGACAGGGAGGCGACAGAAGGTGGTGGCAGCGGTGGAGGTGGAGGTGGCAGCGGCGGTGGTGGTGTGAGCGTGGGTCTTGGCTTCCTGGACTGGGTGGTGTTCCGCCGCATTCGGAACGGGCTGGGGGGCAGGCTGAGGTGAGGCGGGGGGGGAGGCGGGGGGTGTGGAGTGAGGTGGGGGGAAGGGAGGGTTTAGGGAGGGACGATGCGGGGGGCGGGCGGAGTAGGGTTGTGTAACTTGTAAAGGAGCGGCGGCGGTGGCGGCGGCCCTAGCGTAAGGCGACTGCCGCTAGTCTAGAGTCCGACACTCAGGGTAGCTGGCGTGGATGGCATGCGGAGACCCTCAACCTCCCCCCCTGCCCCCCCCCTCCCCCACACACTGTCAGTTAGTTGTTTCCTCTTTACCCCCCTCCTCCCCCCCCAGGCTGGTAGTGTCCGGCGGCGCCCCTCTGGCCGGGCGCATCGAGGAGTTCCTGCGCGTCACGCTGGGCTGCCCGGTGGCGCAGGGGTACGGACTGACGGAGAGCTGCGCCGCCTCCTTCCTGCAGGAGCCCTTCACGTGGGGGCAGATTGGTGGGTGCAGGGGGGGGAGGGGGGGAAGGGTGGCGGACGAAACACACAGCAGCTGTGTAGCACAAGGGCCACGCTGCTGTGCTGTCGCTGCGTTGAAGGAAGGACGCAAGTGTCCAGGAACTGCTCCCGCCCCCCCCAGCCTCGCATCCCTCACATCCCGTCTCCACATCCCCGAGCTCCGGGCCGGCCAACGGCGGTAGGGTGGTGCTTCGGGTGCTGCACCCGGGTGCTTTCCCAAGTCCCCGCCTCCTCTCCCCTCCCCTCCGCTCCCATCCCTTGGGACATCAGTTGTTTCACGTTTTCTTCATTCTTTGCCTCTCGCTCTGTGACGCCTTTTCATACGGTCATTTAGTTGTTTCCCCCTCCGCTCCGCTCCCCCCGCAGGCTCCGTGGGCCCCCCGCTGCTGAGCACCGAGTTCCGGCTGCGCTCGGTGCCCGACATGGGGTACGAGGCGGGGGGCGGGGGGGCCAGCTGCGAGCTGCCGGCGGGGGAGCTGCTGCTGCGTGGTCCCACGCTGTTCACAGGTGGGGGAGGGAGGGAGGGAGACGGGGGGGGCGGGGGGGCAGGGGCGAGTGAGGGGTGAGAGGGGTGAGGGGTGTGGTTGGCCCCTTCCCCCCCCCTCACCCACTTGACGCTAACTTCCCTACCCGTCATGGTTTGTTACTCCTCCCTTTTCCCTCCTCCCCCTCCTCCTACCCTCCTCCCTCTCCCTCCCCTCCTCCCTCTCTCCCCTCCTCCCTCCCTCCCCTCCTCCCTCCCTCCCCTCCTCCCTCCCTCCTCCCTCCCTCCCCTCCTCCCTCCCGCTCCCTCCCTCTCCCTCCCGCTCCCTCCCTCTCCCTCCCGCTCCCTCCCTCCCCGCCCAGGCTACTACCAGCGCCCCGACCTCACGCGGGAGGTACTGGTGCCGGGACCCGGCTGGGGGCCGCAACCAGCAGCGGCAGCGGAGGGGGAGGGGGAGGCGGGCAGTGCTGCTGCTGGCGCCGCTAGCGAGGCCGAGGTGGCTGCCGCTGCTGCCGCCGGCGGGGGTCCCTGGCTGTGCACCGGGGACATCGCGGCGCTGCGACCCGACGGGTCGGTGGCCATCATTGACAGGCGCAAGAACATGTTCAAGCTGAGTCAGGGTAGGCGAGGGGGGAGGTGAGGGGGGCCGCCGTAGGGCAGCAACCAACCAACCAATATCCACCCTTATCAGCAGCAGCTGCGAGGCAGCGCACGTGGTAGGACCGTGGCTTCCTGTCACCACACCTACACCCCGAATTCCCTCCCCCTCACCCCCCCAGGCGAGTACATCAGCCCCGAGCGGCTGGAGGCGGTGTACATGCAGGCGCCAGTGGTGGAGCAGGTGTGTTCAGAAAACTGGTGTGTGGGGGGGTGAGGGGGCGTACGGCAGCTACGGCTGCTGGGGGTGGGTCGTACACTCGTACTGCTGGGGCTCCGGGAGCGTACGGAGGGGAGGATTGGAGGACAGTCGGTCGAATTTGTGTCCGTCCGTCTGTCTGTCTGTCTGTGCGTCCGCAGAAGTGGTGGCAAGGTCCTTAGGATGCAGCGGGCACCATCGCACAGCTGGGCCCCTCCCTCCCCACCAGGGGTATATGCTAGTTACAGTGTGCCGTACACACCGGCACGTGCGTGACCTGCGATGCCTGGTCGCTGCTGCCGCCGCCGCTGCTGCCCCCCCCCCCGCCCCGCCCCCCCCGCAGATCTGGGTGTACGGCAACAGCCTCAAGCGCAGCCTGGTGGCGGTGGTGGTGCCGCACCGACACAAGCTCATTCCGCTGGCGGGCGGGCGGCTCACCATCAGCCCGCCGGCAGCAGCTGGGGGGGAGGCGGGGGCGGGGGAGGCGGGGGCGGGGGAGGTGGGGGGTGGGAAGACGGGGGACGCCGTGAGCCGGCAGAAGAAGCAGCGCAAGCAAGGAGAGGAGCAGGGGCAGCAGGAGGAGCGGGAGGGGGAGGAGGGGCTGCTCCTGTCCTCCCCCGCCCCCGCCCCCTCCCCCGCCACCCCCGGGGAGCTGGCAGCAGCTCGGCGGGTTGCCGACGTGGCGGATGTGCCTGTGGACGTGGGGGTGGGGGCGGGGGCGGCGGCGGGGGTGGGGAGGCAGGAGGCGCTGCTGAGGGGGCAGCGGGCGCCGGAGGGGAACGGCGGGGGAGGTGATGGAGGCGCAGCGGCGGGCGGTGGTGCAGGCAGCAGCGGTGGTGCGAAGGAGGGAGGAGATGGAGGTGGTGGTGGTGGGAGGGATGCGCCCACGCTGGTTGGGTCGCTGTGCGGCAGTGAGGGGGTGCGACAGGCGGTGCTCGAGATGCTGCAGGTGCGGGAGGGGAGGGGGAAAAAATAAAGAAACACTGAGGGGAGGGGAGGGGAGGATGGGGCGCGGGAGGCGGGAAGGAAGAGTGGAGGCAACGGCGAGGAGGAGGGTTGGGGGCATGTTCTACCCCCGGGTTCATGCAATGCAATGCAATGCTAGGCTGGGCTACCTGCTTACCCAGCTCCCACTCTTGGATTCCCCCGCTGCCAACAAAACAGCACAAACCCAACATTTCCCCGCCCCGAAACCCCTCCTTCCCCCGATCCCCTTCTCCTCCCCCCCTCCACCTCAGGACGTGGGTCGCTCCAGCGGGTTGCGCGGCTTCGAGGTGGTTCGCTCCGTGGTGCTCACCCCCGAGCCCTTCACCCCCGACAACGGCCTCATGACACCCACCCTCAAGCTGAAGCGCCCGGCGCTGCTGGCGCGGTTCCGGAGCCACGTGGAACGAATGTACGAGGAACTGGGGGAGGCGGAGTGAGGAGGTGGGGGGGAGACCAAACCGAACCATAGGAAACCACAGGTTGGGGCAATGGTGAGGGGGGGGCGAGGGAGAAACAGGGGTAAGGAAGCAAGCAAGTTTCGTTACCAATGCCCGAAGGGGGCGCAGGGTGTCTGGATGGAGGTCGAGGGAGGCCATGCGAGGGCGCAAACATGCATGGAGCAGGGCTTGTGTTAGCGTTGTGGCATTGTTGGATACGGCGGATAGGGTATGGGTGCGGCCGTGGTGGTATTGAGGCTGGCGTCGGTTGGCCGACGCCTACCGCGTACGGGAGCTTGGGTGGTGCACGCATGTGTGTTGTCGGTTGTCACGCGGGTTGTACAAAAGTAGATATTGGCTTCTGCATGTTGCGCTGAAGACGTTGCGGGCGCAGCCCTGAGGAGGAGGGAGTGGGGATGTACGGGTTTGCCATGTACGGGTTTTGTGGCTGCGTGGGTGGGGTGTGCGGTAGCGGCGCCTGCGGGAAGGGCCCTTCCATGTTGCAGGACGCAGGGGGGGGGGTTCCGTCGTGGCCTGTCCTGCCTGCTGGCATGGAGCTGCCGGTAGCGCCGCTGTGGCCTTGCAGGGGTGCTGTGCGGAGGGCGGCGTGGGTGGGAAGGCAGCTTGGGCGCTTGGATGAGGCTGTTGCAAGGGGGGCAGGCGGTAATGAGGAAAGAGCAACCGCGGCTGTATACCGGTAGTGTGTGCCGTACAATGCAACATGCATAAGTTGTTAGGGTATCTCATTTATGTGAGTGCATTTAGGCCAAGTGCATGGGATGCTGTGTGCAACCTGTCATCCATGCATGTGGGTTGTGGTTTGGTAGCTGTTGAACGGAGCTTCCTATTGTTGTACTGTACGTTAGATCCAGTCCCCACCAACCTAATGGGGCCTGAATAAGCGGATGTAACGTGCCTGACATGAATGGCACACGGTGTTAGGTGAGTCATATTGTGCACGGATCGGCAATGCCAGCTTTGGGGGCAGTGTAGATGTGGACGCAATGGGCTGGGGTAGTACACAAGCTGGTATCGCACCCTCCAGACCGGCAAAACCCGCCCCTCCCAAGCCTTCCAACATTCCAAATAATTTCTAGCGCTGCCACATGCACATGCTGGCTAAGCCCAGGGGCGTTGGATTTGGGTCCAGCTAGCACTCTGTGCACGTCAGTACTGTGTCGTACGTGGTGCTCCTTGTAATCGCTACCCATCGAACATGTTGCAATATACGTCTGCAAAAACGTATACCATTAAAATAGTAATAAGTGCTTTGCCTTTGCAACTAGGGTGCTACGATGATATCGCGGCTGTTGCAGTTAATAGACCCGACAGCGCTGATATTGCAACAGGGTTAAATAGAAGCTTTAATTTACAGTTTACAGAATTTAACTAAGTTACCCTTCCGGCGTTCGTTGACGCTGCGAGCAAATGGATGTTTGGCGCAACCTCGAACAGCTCAAGGCAGCGGTGCAGGAGGGAGTTAAGGAGTTTTCAAACGTAGCTATTAACGAGGTCCGCACAGGAGTACAAACAATCCAGGTGTGAGGACTTCAGGTGGTGCAGTTCAGCCCAAAAGTCATAGCTTAACCAGCACGGCTTGCAACCTGACTTCTCGTTGCTGTTATATATGGCGTGCAGCAACAAGCTGCGCATCAACAGCACGGGCACGAGGGCGACAGGTGCGGAAATGGGTGTCAAACTACAGCACAGGGCGACCACCGAACTTGAGTAAAATTTTGGAAACCTGTATGGCTGCAGATGGGGAGGAGTCGACGGCTTTGGCGGAGGTGTAGGGTCCTCTTCGTTAGAGGCGCATAATGCTGAAAGCAAGGATACGCTTGCACCGCTGGAGCCGGATGCCAAGCCACTGGCGGGATCGTTTAGAACTTCATCGGACTTCACCGGCACCCCAGGACGCAAAAGCAGCGCTGAAAGGAGCAGAAACGGTCGGGATGGGACCAAGCGGGATGTTGACGCGTCAAGCAGCAGAACAGGTCAACTTGGCTCGGCCCTGGACCAGCAAGGCACCTTTTATGCAGGCAAGCCGTGTCCGGGCGCTGGGTTACCTGCCATTCGTAACCAAAACTGCTGCTGTGGTGGTGCTAGTGCAAGTGCTGGTCGCATGGTGTGTGTCCGCCCGCTTGGCTTCGCGATCCAATCCCTGAACTCCACTCCTAGCTAGCACCTTCCCCACCCACCACCCGTTCCCATGACCCAGATGTGGTGGCCACGCCCGCGGCCAGCGCCAGCAACACTAGCCAGGTAAGTCACCGGTTTCCACTCGTAAGGGGGAGGGTGTGTGTTTGCCGTTGGAAAGCCCTCCTGCTACTTGATCAGCCCCGGGCCTGTCCCCCTTGTTTTGCAGCAGCCACTCCATGCAGCCCCATGCCCCCCCCCCTTCCACTCCTCCCAGCAGCCTGCCTTCGGCGCGGCTCCCCCCTCCGATGAGGCTCCAGTCGACACGGCTTCATCGCTGTCCTCCCCGGGGTACGCCTTCAGCACTCGCTCCCGCACCACTCGTACGGCGGAGCTCCTGTCAGGTGTGGAGCCCCCAGGAGGCACCTCTGCAGCCGCCACAGCCATCTCCTCCCCTCCACCCTCCTCGTCTGCTGCTGGCGGCCTGGCTGCCGCCCGAACACCCGTAGCACCAACAACAGCGGCAGCAGCAAGAGATGGCGGGGAAGCGGCGGGACTGGATACAGAAGCAGCAGCAGCAGGAGGTGGTGGAGAGGAAGGCGAGCGGGCGCGTGTTCAGGTCGGTGCCGCCGAGGACGCCACCAACGCTGAGCCCGCAGCTGGAGAGGCCACCCTGGCTGGCGGCAGCGGCAGCAGCAGCAGCGGCCGACCGCCCCTGGCTCCCTCCTCAAGCCAGCTCCAAGGGCTGGGTGCGGCGATGGCAGCAGCGGCGCCATCTGGGACGGGTCGGGACAGCCGGCGTGTGAGCGGCGGGGGCGAGGGGCCGCCGCAGGGTGCTGCTGCGGGGGGTGGGGGCGGGGGGCGGAGCGCCGCGGAGGGGGAGGCGGACCTTCGGAGGGCGTATGCTGAGATGAAGAAGGTGCGCGCATAAAAAGAAGACTCCAACCGGGAACACGTCGGATAGCGGGCAGCAGTGCGCGCGGCATGGCTTGGCGCAGCGGCTGTCAGAGGGGCAGTGTCAAGCCGCCGTGCGAGTATCCTTCCCATGCTTCCCGGTTGTGCTTTCTGCTGAGCTCTCCGACCCACATGACGGCATTCCTTCTTAACCCCCATGATGCCGCCTCCCAGGCCTACGAAGACATGAAGGGGCTGCTGAAGAAGAGCATGGACGAGTGCGTCAGGCTGTCGGAGGAGGTAGTCAGGTGGGGCGGGACGGGGGAGGGTGGCGAGCGGAGGTGCGCCGGGGAGCAGCTGTGACGCAACTTGCTGGGCAGCCGGGGAGCCGGGAATGGTCGCACAATGCGACTGCCGCAGGGCCGCAGGCCAGCCTTCCGGCCTGTAATGCAAACCTTCCGCCTCCTTCCTCCCCTCCTCCCTCCCTTCCTCCCCCAGGGTGGAGTCCAGCGCCCGTCAGGCCCAGGCTGCCGCAGCCGACCAGGCCGCCGCCGCCCGGGCCGCCCGCAAGGAGGCGGCGGACGCGGGGGTGGCGCTGGCGGCGGCCAGGAAGGAGGCGGCGGCGGCGGAGCGGGCGCTGGCCAAGAGCCGCGCGGCGCTGGAGGCGCGGGAGCAGCAGGAGACCAGCAAGGTGCGGGTGGGAGGGCGGCGGCGTGGTGCATGGGCGGATGGACGTGGTTGCGGTGATGTTGGGACTGGCTGACGGATTGGGACGTTCATAAGGAGGGCGAGTCGGAGATTGACAGGGTGTTTACCACAGTTCCTGGTGAGGGCTGGCTTAAGTAGTGCCTTGCTCGATGCTCATGGCCGCCACCCGCCCCACCCCCACCTTATGGAGCTTTATCACGGTTTGTACTTTGTGTGCTGCTGCTAACCCAACGAATTTGACTATGCGCAATCCTAATATCCAGCCTAAGGCGGATTACGTCTCCAAATTAATCCCCACCCCCACCCCCTCGTGTGCAGACTGCTGACACCGCTGAGTTGGAGGACCTGCGCGGGGAGCTGGCGGCGGCGGTGCGGAAGGCCATGGCGGCGGTGGCGGCCAAGGAGGCGGCGGAGGCGCGGGCGGCGGCGGCGGAGGCGGCGAGGCAGGAGGCGGAGCAGGCGCGCAATGAGGCCGACCGGCTGAGGCGGGAGGCGGAGGTGAGGCGGTGTGTCAGCCCCATTCTGTCCTCGGCTGTACATCCTGCCCTGCCCTGCCCTGCCCTGCTAACCGGTCCTAACTTGGTCCCTGTACGCCGTAACCCGCCCCGAACCCCCACCTCCTTCTTCCCCCAGGCCGAGGCTCACGCCGCACTGGCCGCCGCGGAGGCTGAGCGCAGCAGCCGGGCGGAGGCGGTGGGCGCCAGCGAGGCGCTGCGGGCGGAGGGCGAGCGGCGCGCGCGCGTGTTCAACAACGCGGTGAAGGCGGCGGTGGGGCGCGTGCAGCGGGAGCTGGAGGCGGAGCGGGACGAGCTGCAGGTGGGGGGTGGGGGTTGAGGAAGGGAGAGGAGGAGGGAGGGAGGCGCGGGGCCATGTGACAGAGGCTAGGGTACGGAGACACGTGCCAGGGGTCTCGTGTACGACCTCATTCCTGCCTTCCCTGAACCCCTTCGCATCTCCTCTCATGCATGCGTCAACCCTACACTTCCCTCCCGCCCTGCAGGCCCAGCTGCGGGCGGCGCACCGCTCGCTTGCGGAGGCGCAGGAGGAGCTGCGGCTGGCGTTGGCGGCAGCGGCCGACGCGGCGGCGGAAGCGGAGGCGCGCACGCGGGACGCCGCGGCGGCGGGCACCGTCGCGGTGGCGGCGGAGGCGGCGGCGGAGCGCGCTGTGGCTCGGGAGGCTGAGGCGACGGCTGCGGCTCAGGCGGCCGAGGCGGCGCGGCAGCAGCTGCAGGCGGAAATGGAGCAGATTAGGTTTGACAAGCAGCAGGTGGGTGTGCTTGTGGTGCTTTGTGACCCGTGGGTCAGTCGCTGTGGTCGCGAATGAGGCAGCGGTTGGCTGCCGATGTGTACATGCGGTGTTACATACGCCGTTGGATTCAACCTTGTGCTCGTATCCCCACCTTAAGACCCACTTGCTGTCCGTCCCTCTTGCCTCACTCCGTGCCTGCCCCCGCTCGGCACGTCCTCCGCAGTCGGATGCCCGGTGTCGCGCTCTGGAGTCCTCGCTGGCCTCACTGCGCGCGGAGGCGGAGGCGCAGCGGGCAGTCGCAACAGCAGCCACAGCGGAGCTGGAGCGGGAGGCGCGGCGGCAGAGCGAGCGGGCGGAGGCGGCGGCGGCGGCGCTGGCGGGCGCTGAGAAGCAGCTGGAGGGGGCGGCGGCAGCACGTAAGGAGACCAGGAGAGGGATCGGAGGGGCGGGGGGCAACTCATGCGCGCACGCGTTATTACAACCGTGACAGCAAGCACACATTTGCCGCATGTATCCAGAGCCACACTCCTACCGGTATCCTCCTCTTCACCTCCTCTCCCGCTCTAAACCCCAACCTATGTCCGCCCCTAAACCCCAGACCGCGACGCCTCCGAGAAGGCCGCCGCCGAGCTCTCCTCCGCGCTTCGGCGGTTGGAGGAGCTGGAGGGGGAGGCGGCGGCGCTGCGGGCAGCCGCCAACAGCAGCGCGGGGCGGGGCGCGGCGGCCGTGGCGGCGCTGTTCCAGCTGCCCACCAAGGAGGATGTGCTGGCTGGGCTGGGGCTGGAGCTCTGGAAGGACGACCGGCTGCGCTGGAAGAGCGAGACGGATGTGGAGGCGGCAGCGGCAACCTCCGCAGCGCCTCGCGGCGCCAACCGTGCGTCTGCTGCGGCGGCGGCGGCGGCGTCAGGCCGGCGTTCCTCCCCCTCGGGCCACATCTCCCTGCGCGTGTGGCTGCTGGTTGGGTACCTGCTGCTGCTGCATGTGGCGGTGATGGTGTCCTTCACGCGCAACACGCCGGACGTGGCAGCGCTGTGCGGGGGCGGGGTGGTGGCGGCGGGGGGGCTGGGCGGTGTGGGAGGAGGGCCGGGGGCGGGGGTGATGGGGCTGGGGGGTGTGGGCGGGGTGCAGCACAGGCAGGTGCTGCCGGGGGCGTGAGAGGTGGGAGGTGGCGGTGGTGGTGAGGACTGTTATTGTTGGGAGCTGGGATGGGCAGTGGCAGTGTTAGGGCTTATCCGCTCATGTCATGTTCCCGTGCCGTCGATCATAGGCAAGCATCATTATGTATACCTTGGATAGGATTATTACAGGGGGGTTTGCATGGGGCGTGGCAAGCATCATTATGTATACCTTGGATAGGATTATTACAGGGGGGTTTGCATGGGGCGTGACCTAGGGCAATTCTATATTCGGTTATGCCCTCGATCGCAGTGATTAGTCAAGAGTGGTTAACCAGCGCGGTGCAACCTAACGTCGCTTGGAACGGGACGAACTAGCGGTAAAGCCATACGTGCGCGCAGGCTCAATCCTATAGCTGGCGCACGCTTGATAGTGCACGAGAACAGGACGCATCCAGCCGCTTTTACTTCACCCGGCGAGCGGTCTACCATCAAGGCTGTGGTGTTAGGGTACCACTCGGAGTGAGGGAGGAGGGGTGCACACTTGCGCGTGCGGAAGGCAGGTAGCGGCGCTGACCGCTGCTGAGGTGACCTCTCGTCACAGAGGGCTCTGTCCTTTGCCCGTTGGGCCACGTAGTTAGTTCGGGAATCGCCGCCGGTCCTTGTTCCTTACAAAGCATTGAGGCGCTCATTACCGGTATGCTTGTATCGTTGGATTGCGACCGCACGTGTCAATGGTCACGCGTCTCTCTCCTCATGTCTTTGGACTTCCGTCACGACCAGGCTGCGGCTGCTGCTGCTGCTGCACATGTCGCAATCCAACAGCTCCCACTCACGCCGCCTCCCCCGCCACCACAACCACACCAGCGCTCAGCCTGCACACACGCGCACGATTGAAGCCTTGCACGCATGCCCGGGAGAGCTGCACAGCACACACCTGCACTTACTGCCCCGCCCCGCCTGACGGCCGGCGGCGCCAGGAGCCACAGCGCATTGCAGCGCCGTTTCCCCACTGCCTCCCCCCCTCGAACCCAGCCGCGCACCCCAAGCATCTACCTACCTCTCGCACACCCACGCATCTACACCTCACTCCGCGCCCCCCTGCATGTCCGCGTCACCATCCCCGCTGCTGCCGCCGCCATTACCCCCCTGCCCGGCCCCCTGCTGCCGCCGCCACTGCAAGTCGTACACCACCGCCAAGTGGTCGGAGGGGAAGGCGCGCGAGGGGATGAAGGAGCCGAGCTGCTGCTCGCTGGGTATGGGCACGCATCCCACCACACGCAGAGCCCACTCCTCGTACCTTTTGACATGGAGGGAAGGAGGAGGAGGCGGTTGGGGAAATAAGTGTGCTACCAAGAGCAGGGATTAGTAACAAGTCAGCGGGGAAGTAACGTTCTGTTGACATCATAACATGCATGTATGCACGTTGCGCCGCCGGCTTTCTGATGGCCAGTTGACTGCGTCTGCGCGCGGTCGGAGTTGCGCAGGCACCATCGTCCCCATCTCTCCAACACCGCACACTCCTCTCCCAGTACGAGTAAAGAGGAAAGACAAACACAGCAGCAGCTGTAGCACATGATTGCCCATCACACGGCATGGCGCGGCCCTCCGTGCCCAGCTCGTCACCCGACTCACCACACATAGTCCAGCAGCGCCTTGTACCCCGACGTGTAGTTGGTGTAGGGGGTGGCCAGGTCGTCAGCGCTGCGAAGGGTGTACGGCAGGGTGATGTCGATGCCGGTGACTGGGATGGGGTGCTGCGGGGCCGCAGCGGGGCTGTCGAAGGCATGGCCGTCAGGAGCGAACAGGGAGCCCGCCGCAGCTGCATGGGCGGCGGTGGCGGCTGCTTCCGCCGCAGGAGCAGCGGCAGCATCCATGGCGGTGGAGGTGGCGGTGGCGGGTGCAGCAGCGGCAGCACTGGCAGTAGCAGCAGCGGCAGCGGCCTCCTGCGCCGGTACGGCAGCGGTCTTGGCCGCCTTGTCGGCTCCCTTGCCCGCCGGCGCCGCTGCCCCGGGGCCCGCCGCCTCGCCGTCCTCCTCGCCCTGGGGCCATCAGGGTGGCGTGTGGGGCATGTGTGGGGACATGCCGGCTTGAGGGGAGGAGGGAGGCCGCGGGAAGGAAGCGCGGAGACCCACCCCTACCGTGTACCTTGTAGTATAGCCCCAGCCAGACATCGGCAGCTCGGTAGTCGACTGCCGTACCCCAGCAGGCGGCTGTGTCCTCCGGTGCGGGTTGCACACCCCGCTGCCCGCATCCCCACCCGCTGTGGCCCCCCTGCCCTAACCCCCTCCCCTCCCACCCCTCCATGTCCCCCCCACCCCCCACACCCCACCCACCATGCCCCACTTGAACGCCGCCCCCTGCGCCCAGTCCCAGTAGTCGGCGGGCAGCCCACCGCTCCGGAGCAGCTCCACAACACCTGGGTGGGGAGGAGGAGGAGGGAAGAGAAATGAGTGGGGCAGGCGGAGCAGAGATGTTTTCCAACCCCAAAGAACCCTGACATAACCGAGTAACCAGCAGTACCCCACGTGTTAGGCACCACCACCGGCGCTACCATCACATACCACACACAGTATGCCCAGTCGTCTTACACACACCTCCTCACCCGGAATGCCGTCATTGAGGTCGCTGTTGAGGTCGCCCACGAACAGAACCGTGGGTCGGCCGGGGCGTCCCGCCCCCCTGCTGCTGCCACCAGCCCCATCCCCCTCGCCCCCGCCACCACCGCACCACTCCTGCATCAGCCCCGCCGCCTCCTCCAGAATCGCCGCGGTGTGGATGGTTCGGATGTGCGGCGCGTAGGGGTGAAAGAACAGGTGTGTATTCACTACCAGCAGACACCCCTCGGCTCCTTCCGCTGCCCCCTCCACCTCCCCCTCCTCCCCCTCTCCCGCCCCCTCCGCCTGCTGCTGCTGCCTCACGGGCTCCAGCAGTGTCGCCTGCGCGATGGTGGTCACCTGCTGCAGCGCAGCCTCCAGCTCCCGACTGGCCGCCAGCAACGGCTCAAACTGCGCATGCCGCGGCGGCAGCGGCCGGCGCATACACTCACGCAGCCGGATGCCCGCGCTGCCCACACAGCTGAAGCGAGCACGGCGCCAGAAGGTGGCGCTGCCCTCCCGCACGCGGCCCTGCTTGTTGGTGTAGTGCCCGGAGTAGCCCGCACGGCCCAGGTGGAGGGAGAGGAAGTCGGTGTAGGTGCGCTCGTCCACTTCCTGCAGGCAGATGACATCAGCCCCATACGACAGCACCTCTTGCAGTACGAGGGCACGGCGGTAGGAGGGGTCCAGGTACCTGTAATTAGAGGGGGGTTGGGAGGTGGGGCGGGTAGGGGCGGGGAGGGGTGGGGAGGGGGCGGGGTGGGGATGAGCGTGTGGTGAGGTGGGGACCTGGGTGCGATGTGGGTGGGTGCGATGTGGGAGGGTGGGATGAGGGGCTCCATGTGACGAGCCGCTCACACATCTTCCCATGCGTGCAACCATGTGCAGCCGGGTCAAGCTCAGGACCATACATCTAGTCCCCAGCCCTCTTCCCGCTCCCCTAGTGACCCTCCTGCCCCTGGCCCCCCCAAAAAACACACACACATACACATACACATCCTAGTTTTCTAACACACCCCCACATCCCCACATCCCCACACCCCGCTCACTCCTTCGGGCAGTAATTGAAGAGCACCTTCTGCGCGTAGTCCGAGCCCGCGTACTGGTCGGCCAGGATGTTGTACGACATGATGCGGAAGCTGCCCGGGGGGCGGGGTGGAGGCGGCGGGGGAGGGGGAGGGGGGCAGGAGGGGGGGTTGCTGCTGGTGGGGTTGCTGCTGGTGGTGGTGCTGCCGGTGGTGGTGCTTCCGGAGCGGATGGACGCTGAGGTGACCGGGGGGGCTGGCTGCACCGGGCCTGCATGGGGCGGGTAGGGGAAGGGCGGGGTGAAGGAGAGGAGAGGGGGTGCAGAGGAGATGGGGGGTTAGGCAGCCATGCTCCTTCAGCATGCATACATGCGTGCGTGCTGGCCGGTACACGCATGCACGAACCCATCGTAAGGTACCTGCCAAGCAGTTTTAGTGGCTCAGCCCTCCCTATCCCTCACATTGTCACACACCCACCACCCGCCCCGCCCCCTCCCTCAGCCACCCCACCCACCCGTCAGCCCCCACACCGGCTGCCCCCAGCTCAGCTCCTCCTCCTCCTCGCCCCCCTCCCTCCTCCTGGCCGCCCCCGGGGTGCACTCCACCCGCAGCACGCAGCCCTCGTCCTCCGCGGTGGGCGTGTAGTGCTGCGAGGCGCAACCCAGGTCCCGCCACCCCTCCTCCTCGCCGCTGCCGCCGCTGCTGCCCCCAGCTCCTCCAGCTCCTCCAGCTCCTGCTGCTGCTCCTGCTCCTCCAGCTCCTCCAGCTCCTCCTGCTCCTCCTGCTCCTCCTGCTGCCCCTGCTGCCCCTGCTGCCGCTCCTGCCGTACCCGGTGCGGGGCGCTGCGCACTCCAGCGCCAGCGACACAGGGCGGGGTCCGCGTTGGCGAGCTGCGGGGGGGGGGAGGGGTGCAGGAGGAGGTGAGGGGATATGTGTGTGTATGGGGAGGGGGAGGGGCGCAGGGTTAGTGAGAGGCAGGAGAGGGCCCAGCTGCCGGGCCAGCTGCCCACCTGCTTCCTTCCACCCCCCCCCTGCGACCACCACCACCACCGGCACGTAAGCAGCCCTCCCACCGCGGTGGTGCCATGTGTCACACGGTTCGTGTCTTCACCTTTACCCCACCACCACCTCCACCGCCCCCACCCCCCAGCCCCCCTCCTACCGTGGGTACTGCGGCTGTGGGGAAGCCCACCATCGCCAACCGGTCCAAGTACAGCTGCGGGGGGGAGGGGGGGTGCGCAGGGAGGGGGAGGGAGCATGGGTGAGAGCTGACGCAGGAGGGAGGGAACAACATGGACACCGGGTGAGCAGTGCTTGCATATCCCAAGGTGTACAGGAGGAGGAAGAGGAAAGCCCGCCACTGCCTCGCATCCCTGCCCGCCACATCAACCGGCGACCCCCCAACACGGCAACCCCTCAACCCTCCTCCGCTCAGCCGCCTCAAGCAGAAGCCGCCCCCACCCACCCTCTTTACATCCCCCCTCTCTCCCCCCGGCGCCCCACCTTGTCCACCGCGGGCGGGTTCACCTGCAGCCGGAAGCGCTGCGCCCCCACCCGCAGCAGAGACCCCCGCAGCCAGGCAGCGCCGTTGGGAAGCGAGGGGGGCACCGGGCTGGGGGGGAGGGGGGGGGGCGGGAGGGCAGGGGGGGGGGCAGGGTGAGCTGTTGCTGCAAGCTGGGAAGCAGACGGAGCGGACAGCGCATAGGGAACAAGGCTGCGGCTGCAGAGGGGTTGCGACCTGGGGGTTCGCCCGCTGGCAGGCTGCCTCCCTCTCCCCATGGAGCCCCCACACCCCTCCCACCCGCCACCCACCCGCCTCCCAGCCCACCCCCCGCCCCTCTCACCGGCTCTCCGCCAGGTCCTCGAACAGCTGCACTGCGATCCCCGGCTCCTCAGCAGGGGGGGCGGTGTCAGGGGGGGCGGCGTCAGGGCCCCCGGGCTTCTTGCGCTTGTCCTTCTCTGGGGGCGGTCGCCGCAGTCGGGAGGGGGTGAGAAGTCGGTGGCACCGGACACGTGAAGGCGGAGGTGGGTGCGGTAGGAGGTGGGATAGGTGAGGGAGGAGCCCGGCGGGGAGAACAGGGATCGGAACCCCTATTTGGAGCAGCTGCATGTCTGCACCACTACCTGGTCATAACGGTGGAACGATCCACCAACACTTGTTATGTATCATCACATCATTCTTGTTCCCTTGCAACTCCCGTCTGTTTCCGCATCCCTACATCCCCCTCCCCCGACACCTCCCCGCCAACACCTCCCAAAACACGTTGGGTATTCTTCTTCCCCCCGCAGCACGCCCCTCACATCTCCCCTACTTGGCGGTTTCGGAGCCAGGTTCTTAGCCAGCCGCGCCAGAGCCTTCTCCAGCGGCTCATCGGTGGGCCTGAGGGGGGCAGTGGAGTGACCCATGGGTCGGGGGCGGGTCGGAAGCAGGTACGCCAGGTCAGGAAACCCTAATGAATACAACCAAGAAACCGAAACACACAAAGCCTCGGGAGGGGAGCTGGTGACCCCCTACAAGTCACTTGAGATGCGCATCTAACGCCCTGTACGGCAGGGTGCCGCACCTGTTCAGGTTACACGACTTGGTTCCCATCGTAACGCTCACTGCCAGGGTGTCCGACCCAGGGGTCACTCGGACGTAGGCCTGTGTGTAAAAGCCAGGGAGGGGAATAATTCATGAGGAATGAAACAACTGGAGTCCCAATCCCATATCCCGACTCATGGAGAGGGGAGGAGGATGAGGGGGGTAGCCAGGGGGTGCCGCAGCGGGAGCGGAACAGGCGGTGCTTTGTACTGGGTGGGGGGAGGGCGCAGCAGCCTGGCACGCCTGCCCGCACGCCTGGTGCATGTGGGGGGTAGCGGTGAGGGGGGTCCGCTGCCTGGGCCCTGACACCACCACCACCACCACTTTCACCAGCACTATCACCACCACCATCCCCTCTACCACCACCACCACCACCACCACCACCACCACCACCCAGATGCCACCCAAGCCTCGTCCCGAGGGCGCCCTCCGCCCGCATGCCGCCGCCCCAACCCCTCTTAACCCCCCCAGGTGCTGCTGCTGCTGCTCACGCAACTTGAGGCGCACAGCAGGTCTGCAGCGCTGAGGCCCCAGCCCCCGCCTGCCGCACATCAGCACGCACCCCTTCACCTTCCCAGGGTCCATCCACTGCCGCTGCTGCTGGTGGTAATGGTTGGTAATGCACCGCACTGCAACCAGCCCCACACACTGCTACTGGCGCTGCTCCCCCTCCTTGTTCCACGCGTACCTTGCTATCAATCCCAACAACATCCCAACAGACATCACCGCCCCCTCCCCCCCCCTCTCCCTCCTTCCCACACCTTCAGTACCATCAAGCCCACCACCCTTGACCCACGTCGCTAGCAGGTTTCGTCTTTGTTTGTTTTCTGGCTCACCTACCTTTGGCAATGAGCTCACATCCTCCCCACCCAGCGCCGCGGCCCCAGCTGCTGCCGTAATGTTGTCCGGCTGCATGACTGCAGTGGTGGTTACGGCAGTTGTTGTGGTGGTTGCAGAAGTGGAGGTTGTGCGCGTTGTGTTGCCGCTGCTGCTGTTCCTTCTGCCGCAATTGCTGCTACTGCTGCGGTTGCTGCATCCAAGCCCGGAAAAGCCGGTTAACCGTGAAGCAACATGTGCAATGCGGGTGTGATGAGTGCTGTTCAGAAGCTTCGCAGTAGCTGGGGTTGGCTGAGCGTCGATGGGTAACACGCTTATTAGGGCCGCTTGCGCTGTGGCTGACTTGGTGCGCAGAGCTGCTGCCGCCAGACGCTGCGCTACACGGGGCGAGGGGCAGCAGCGAAAAATAGATCGCATGCGAGGCGCCCCTTAACGTACGATTGGGTGGCGCTCGTTCGCCAGGAGGAATGCGGTGGTTTATGATAGCTCCAACTTACAATTCTTGCAATATAGGCCCTAATATGCGTCGATGACGGCCGGCGATTACAGTTGCTCAGAACCGCACAATTGCCATACTTTGGCGGTACCCGGGAGGGTACCCTTCTATCCTAGGCAACACGAACGAAGTAGAACAAGCAGTGCGTCACATGCATTTCACGCTGGTTGCGCTAGCGCTAGCGCAGCACGGCTGGTAATAGAGTGTAATAAACAGGTACGGCGGGTACGACTTCTGAGCCGGTGACGGTCCAAAACACGTCAAGTAGACAGGCATCCCACCTTTGCAGAGGAGTCTCCTCTTACGACCTAAGACTTCAATAGGGTCTACTCTTCATAGGTCATCAGCTGACAGCGTCGCTCAAAGCGCGCGCTTTTGCGATCATACATTCCGCCATGGTCGCTGTGCCTGCGGTCGTCACCGACGCCTATGAGCGTCTGGTGGCTGAGTTTGATAAGCTCAGCACTACGCAGAAGTATGCAGTTGGCGTCGCTGGTGGCGTTGCGTCGGCATACCTGGTCGGCTCGTTGCTCTTCAAGAGCAAGTGCGAGAAGTCAAAGCCGTCGACTTTCGAGCTGACGGGAGGCTCCATCGACTCCGCAAAGGTCAAGGAGGAGTTTGCTGCTTACGCTGATAGCTATGGCAAGAACGCGGGCGAGGGCATTGTTGATCGTTCGAAGACGGTCCACCTTGTGGACGTCTTCTACAGCCTTGTCACCGATATCTATGAGTGGGGCTGGGGCCAGTCTTTCCACTTCTCTCCCAAGCTGCCAAACAAGGATTTGCGCGCGTCTGAGGCCGCGCATGAGGCCCGCGTTGCCGCGCTCCTACGCGTCAAGCCTGGGATGAAGGTGCTGGACTGCGGCTGCGGTGTTGGTGGTCCCATGCGCACCATCGCATCTGTCAGCGGAGCCCACGTGACCGGCATCACTATCAACCAGTATCAGGTTGACCGTGCCACCCGCCACAATGAGAAGGTGCGCAAGCAAGCTGTAACGCCTGCTCAAGTCCAAGACAGTCCTATCACTCCTTAACTGCATATGTGCTTATTGATTGATGTTTTCTCCTTTGTGTCTTGTAGCAAGGAGTTGCTCCCTTGACGGAGGTCGTCCGCGGCGACTTCCTCAACATGCCATTCAAGGAGAACACCTTCGATGGCGCCTACGCCATCGAGGCTACTTGCCACGCCCCCAAGGTATCTATGGCTATGCCTACAACCGTGTTCCTTTATCGTGTTCGGCTACCTGGTATACGTTTCCCGCCCAATTACCATTGGGTGTAGATTGCACCGTTGGCCGGCTTCCCCTTGCGTCCTATACTTCTCCCTCGTCGTGTTACGTCCTCGTCTATGCAGACAAGCCTACGGACTCTAGATCAAAAAACCATATGTGCCTATTTACATTCTCTCCAGTGCTCCATTCTCCATTGCTGTCACCTGTACTGCTCTGCGGCCCATCTGCGCGCCTGCTGACATGCCCCGCTTTCACCCTCGCAACCTCGCCACGTGCCACAGCTGGAGGGCGTGTACGGCGAGATCTTCCGCGTGTTGAAGCCCGGCTCGTACTTTGTGTCGTATGAGTGGGTCTCCACCGCCAAGTACGACGCCAGCAACCCCGAGCACGTCAAGATCATTGACGAGATCAACTTCGGCAACGGTCTGCCGGTAAGATGGTGTCCAGCCGGGGTGATAATTCCGGGTTCCCGCTTCTGCTGCTGCTGATGATGAGTTGCAGGGGGCCTCCACGTTCCCACCTGCTGCATGGGGCTGCTGCCTCTTACTATACCCCCGAACGTTGCGTGCTTGCATGTCATGACCGCTGTCCTGCCTCCCAACCCTCACATCATTCACCCGCCCGTTTTAATCGCCCTTGCGACCATCTTTGCTCTGCAGGAGATGCGCACCTACAAGGAGGCTGAGGACGCGGGCAAGAACGTTGGCTTCGAGCTGGTCATGTCCATGGACCTCGCCACCGCCTCCGTCGTGGCTGGGCCCTGGTGGGTTGGCTGGCAGGGCTAGGGGGGGGCAGACAGGAAAGGAAGAGAGGAAACAACAGGAGGGAACTGGAAAGAATGGTGTTGAGTTGTCCATACAGACCTGTAGTCAGCAGCAGCACGTAGGATGCCTGTTACGCTAGCGGGCATGACATGGCAACCTCTCATCTTGCCTGGCGGCTTTGCTTGGTGCCCAATTTCTGACTGCTCCCGCCCCTGCCCCCCCGCCCAGGTACGAGCGGCTGCGCATGGGCAAGTGCACGCACACCTTCAACCACATGCTGGTGTCCGCCGTGGACGCCGTGGGTCTGGCGCCCAAGGTAGGGCGGGCACATATCCACCCACAGGGGGGGTCAGTGTATGCCTAGTCACGAGCAGGAAATTACATAGGCGCCTGTCAAGAGGGATCCGGAAGCACCGCATGCACCAAGTACAAAAACAATGGCACGTATGTACAGCCCGGCATGCGCAGCGCACCGCCCGGTTTACATGTACCTTAGCCCTGTGACAGCCACGCTTGAAGCGTGTGCGTGCATGCGCATGCATCCTTCCCCCCTCACCTTGTCCCACAGCTCGTCATTTCCTTCCTCTGTACCCCTCACCTTGTGTCTGCTGCTGCTGCTGCTCTCCCTCTCCCCTGCCTCTCCCCCCAGGGCCTCAAGGAGGTGCACCACATGCTGGTGGAGGTGGCCAAGAGCCTCATCCAGGGTGGCGAGACCGGCGTCTTCACGCCCATGCACCTGCTGCTCTTCCGCAAGCCCGCGCCCGGCGAGAAGAAGAAGTAAAGGGCGAAAGTAAACTCCCTTGGAAAGGAGGGGTTAGGAAACGGTTGCGGAATGGTTGCAGATACTGCGGGGGTCGTTTGGTGGGGTCTTGCCCAGTGACGCTTCTTTGCAGGTGTGTGTGACTTGCGGGTGGACGCTTGAACTTGAGGGGCGTTGCGCGCTACTCCGGCTGTGCGCTGCTATTATCAAAAATGTTTATGGCGCGTGGAGTGGACGCGAGTATATATTTTGCTGCTTTATTGTTTTGGAAGATGCTGAATGGGGCTTATCTTGTTACGCTCCCTCGTGTCATGCAGGGCCGTCTGCGGTCCCCCTACTTGATTGGGCTTCCCTTACTCATGCCTAACAAATGACACATGCGTATTATTTGTCTCCGGTTGCCGGCAAAGGGGATCAGCTATGAGCGTTGCCCCTTGGTCTCTGTTGCAGCTTGGGACTGTGGGGGGGCTCCTAACGGCAAAACTTACAGCTTCTGCAAGCTGTGGGCAGGTTGTCGTATTTTTTAAAACTGTTCAACCGTTGACAACGTCGTTCCAATGGAGCCGGGTCGCGTGCTGCGCTCATTTGCGGTTGTAGGAGAAAGCAATGACGAGCGTGCGCGGTGCAGTCACTTCACTGCTTGTAGTTGAAATATGGCGGGAGTCCATTCTGGCACTTTGATTCCATACAGTTGCCGTTTCTCGCGCGGCAGCTGCAGACTTCAATGTAAGGCCGATAAGTCCGTCCACAGTCGTCACAAGCAACGTGTCACACGCTTCCGAGGGGTTGCCACATAGCCTAAATCCCTTGCCGTACCTTTTCAGTTTGTAGCTCCATGGACGTCATCAGTATCTGGCGAATCATGTCGCCCAACACCCAAGGTGTGGGAGGCCCTGAAACAATCACACGCCTTGGAAGAGGGTTGGTTTACACCTGCATAGTCGCGCCATGCTAAGTCAACCCGTACACCATGGGAAGGCCAGTGACCTCGGTGCTCTACGGCGGCTTGGTCTCTATCCTTTCCTTGCTATCCCTCCGCTTCCGTCTCCAACACCCCCCCGGCACATCAAAGGACTGTACTACATGGATTCGCACGTACCGGTATTCAGTACGACCCCTGCAGTGTTGTCGCTCCCTACTGCGTTCCGCGGCTTCCCGCCTGACTGCTTCTAACAAGTAATAGCAGCGCATGGATGCTTGCATACGTCCTAGCAGTCATGCGGCCGTAAGCATATACGCTAAGAACATCACTGCACGTCTCGCCTCGTACCCTTCTTTGCACCGAACCAGCTATCCTGCTACGCTTCATCCTGCCAAGCACCTCCCCCACTCGGCACAGGTCCAAACCAGGCAGCAGGCAACGACCCAAACCCAGTTCTCAAGGCCTTCTGCCGTACTGCAAAACACATGCCCCTATGCCGCCCCCACCATCATGACGCTCCGCTCCCCCCAGCAGCACCCGCTGCAGCCACGTCAGCCATCTCCGTGTCACTATCAGCCCCCTGCGCCCCCACATGCGTCCCTCGCCCCGAAGCCAACTCAGCTTCTCCTGCTGCGGCGGCGGCGGCGCCAGCTCCTAGCCCGCAGCCGCCGCCTTGTGAATCCTGCATGGAAGCCCCTGGAGTGGCCTCCCGACCACTGCACTCAGTCGCCGCCGCCGCTGCAGCAGTACTCGCACCCATGCTGCGGTCCTCGCTGCCGGCGGTGTGCTCCCCAACAACTCCTCCTCCTCCCGCCCTCGCCTCCGCAGCGTCAGCCCCGCACGCGGTTGCCGCCCCTGCAGCCGCTGCCGGCTCCTCCGGCCGGGGAGCGCAGCAGCCGCCTGCGGACAGCGCCCCAGCCGCCGCCGCTGCATCCGGCTCCCCTCCCTCCGCCTCCATCGCCTGCGCCTCCGACCCCTCCCCTCCACCGCCACACGCCGCCCCGCCCAGCGCCTCCGCTGCACCTCCATGCGCTGCGGCTGCCCCTGTCGCCTCCTCCACTGCTACGTGCGCGGACGAGGAAGGCACCACATCATCTACCCCATGAGATCCCGTCTCACTCGGCGCCGGTGGCGGAGGTTGCGCCGCCGTAGATGACGGCACCGCCGCTGCTGCTACTGGCGGCCCCTGCACCTCCTCGCCCTCCTCCCCCGCCCCGCTGCCTCCCTCGCTCCCCGCCTCGCTCCCCGCCTCACTGCCCGCCTCATCTCCCCCGGGTACCTCCGTGTCGCTGTCGCAGCAGACCGCGTAGTCGTAGTAGGCGTCCGCCTGGGTGCGGGAGGGCGCAGGAGAGGGGAAGGAAGAAGGGGGCGGCGGGAGGCAGGTGCAGGGGGGACGTCCCTTACCTCAAGGTTCACATCACCGTACGCCGCACCACGCAACAACCACAACTCCCGCTTTCCAGGGCCTTTGTGCACCGCCGCCCTTCCCCCAGTCCCGCCCTTATCAACACATACCTTGGGTCGAGGTCTGACCGCCCCGAACGTGCGCATGGTGGGGGTGGCGAAGTCGGGCGCGGAGAGCACCGCCACCGCTGCCAAGTTGTTGTAGCGCGCAGTGACACCCAGCACGCCGCCGCCATCAGCGGGGGCGCCGGCGTCCTGTCCCTGCAGCTCCTGCTGCTCCTGCTGCGGTAGCTGGTCGGGCTGCTGCTGCTGCTGCTGCTGCTGCGCGCCCTCTGCCTGGTTGTCTGGCGGGTCGGGTACCGCCTGGAACTGCGGGTAGTCGGGGGCGGAGAAGACGGTGAAGAGCTGCCCGGCTGATGGAGGGGCGGGAGGCGGGAGGGAAGAGGCGGGTGGGAAACAAGGGTAGGGAGGGAGATCAGGAGGAGGATTGTTGGAGGTGTTGACAACCGCCAACTCCCTTACGAGATTGACACGGTGCCTGCACGCAGCGTCCACCCTGCTGCGCCGTGCCTGGTCCCGTGAGCACCCACCGCTGCACTTGCACCCTTCCATGTAGCATCCCCTGCGCGGCACGTTACCAGCCCTCACCGCCCGGCTGCCCCGCTCCTCCCCACCCAACCCCCTTGCCCATTCCCCCGCTGCTGCGGCTCGTTTCTTCACCATCACCCGCCCCCCCGCTGCTGCAGCTGCCGCTGCTGCCCCCCACCTGGCGTGTCATGGTCCTTGCTGTAGCCCTGCAGCACCTGCGGCAGGTCGCACCGCTTGTCGCGCGCGTCGGGCCCCTCGTGCGACCGGATGATCAGCCGCAGCCGGTTGGCGCGCAGGAAGGCCTGCGGGCGCGGGGCGGGGCGGGGCGGTATAAGGGGGCGGGATGAGAGGGCGGGATGAGGGGGCGGGGTGAGGGGCGCATGCTGTTGGAGGTTCCAGCAGCAGGGAGACGGGGAGCAGCGGCACCGCGGCGCATTGGAGTGAATGAGATGGCCACCCAGGATGCAACGCACGAGCGCCCCCCGAGCGCTTGGCAGTGGGTTCAACAGCCGTTGCGTCAACAGGGGTAATGAGAGGGAGCGCGATGGGTCCCGGGGCGCTATCTGGGGAGTTACCTTATCCAGGACCCTGGGCATCCTATGTCTTATCCCAGTAGCCCCTCTACACCCCCATACACACCCCTACGCCCCCCCACCTCCGTGATGTCGGGCCCGAAGGTGAGCCCCACTCCGCGCGCGTCGTTGCTCCTGAAGCCCGGCTCCGCCACCGGGTCGCTCCACAACACGTCCGTGGCCAACACGGAGGCGCCGCGGCCTGGAGGGGAGAAAGTAAATGAAAAGTGAAGCAACTGGAGTATCAATTCCATATCCCGTTGGGGGGCAAGGCGGGGAGGAAGAGACCGACGAGCTATTTGACGGGAATGGGAGGGAGGAAGACTGGAGGGGGTTAGAGGATAGGGTTGGGGAAGCGTGGTAAAGCCCGCGGGTTGTCCTTGTCGCTGACATCGTCTTGGTGGTTGGCAGAGAACTGGGTAATAGGGTAGCATCGGAGGCCCGGCAGCGGCAACCGCAGCGGCGGCTCAATCTTCAACAGCAAGGCAACCGGTCCGTGACTGCCCACCACCCCAGCCTTGAGGCAGGCGTGCCATCCTATACACAGCAACCCCTCCCGCTCCTCCTCCCCTCCCACCGCCACCATCCCTCCCATCCCACCCCCTGCCCCCGGCCCCTCACCGTCCGGGTCCATGCCCCCCTTGGTGGCCCTCCGCAGGTCGTCCAAGCTGCCGGGCGCCAGCTCGCCCGCCCCGCGGCCCGGGTGGCTGGGCTTCCGCCGCTTGGCGCCGCGCTTCGGCTCCGAGGGCCGTCGGAACAGACCTGCGGGGGGAGGGAGGAAGAGAAGAACCATGCGTGGGAGGTGGGGCAGTACACCGTCGGGGGGAGGGGAAGATGCGGTCGGGTATGCAATACCGGTAGCCAGGGGTGCAGCTCCCGACCCTTGCCGGCCTCAGACTACTCCGGACTACCGGTACTTCTCTGTCGCCCTGTCGGTGCGTGAACTGCAGGTTGGGTTGGTGTGGGGCGCCGTACAGGGGCACGTACCTCCGTGCATGACCAGCGTGTTGCCTTGGATGAGGGCGGCCAGCGGCATAGCGGTGAAGAGCCGCTTGGAGGCCGAGTACACGTCCTGCGCGCAGGGAAGAGCGCACAGGACGTATGAGGGAAGGCGCTTCATGATGGCAGCAAGTAACGACTAGAATGTAGGGGTCCGGGGGAAGAGGGAGGGAACTTGTTAGCCATCGGTGGTGGGAAGGAACATCGCGGGGCGGGGATCGCGGTGTGCGCTGAGAGGGCTAGGGGCAGCCGCAATGCCGAGGCAGCCAGGGGAAAACCGCACCTTGGCTTGTTTCACATATTTTGCTTTGACCTCCTGGCTGTAACCGTAGTATTTCGTGCAGGTGCTGCTCTCGTGGTTGCCGCGCAGCAGGTATATGCACTTTGGCGCGGCGCACTTCAAGCTGCACAACAGTCCAAGCAATTCGACGCCCCAACTGCCGCGATCAACGTAGTCGCCATTAAAGACAAAGATACGTTTTGGGCTTGGGTAACCAAGCTGGTCCAGCCTACGGAAGTGGAGCAGACGTGGGACAAGGAAACCGGTAAGCAGCTCCGATGGTGGCAAGTATAAGAACAACATTACCTACATATGAGCGACATCTGGAAAATGGCCATGAGTATCGCCAAAGACATAGACTTGCGCTTCCGGGTCCTCGACAGACAGCTCCAAGAGACTTGGTTCTGTGCGCAGCACCGCTTCCGTGGCTTGCAGAAGGGTGACAAGCTCATTTGCTGGCAAGACCGTTTTGAGCTGGGCAGCTCCTCCATGGATGGCAGCCAGCATGCGGGCTTGCAGCTGTGCTGCCTCCTCTAGATCCATGTTATCAAAGGACATGCCAACCATCGCGAGCGGCTACGTGATCTTAGACCGAAAGGTGCATTTATAGCGGGGTCGTGGCTCCAAGCAACTCCTCATAACCAACACAAGAAAGCCGGGGATTTAAAACCAACCAAGAGGGTGCTGTCGGTCCGCGAACGTGATCTACATGATACTGTTGACCAAAGTCCAGCCGTAAGTCATACCTTTCGGCAAGGGTAGACATCGCAGTACAGTGCTTGTCGTACGGCGCCTGCTGAAGCAGTGCGTACCGCGAAGTTGCACCATGTTGTGTGAGGACTCTTACTTAATAACGGTGTATCTCAGTCGAAACAATTGACGACTTTTGGAGTAAGGTAGCAATGAATAAGCTTGTCACAAAGTATGACATGTCCATGTCGAAATCCCAGCGTACGCCTGTGTCGCCCTGCTTCCTTCTCCAGTACACGTTACCTTGCCACGTCCACCGCGTGCAAAACAATCTGACGTTTTGGGGCGCCTGTGGTGTCACCGTTCTGTTGTAGCCATTGCCGTGCCAATATCGTGCGATGTGGTGTCACATAGTAGAGGGACCCTGCAAGGGCAGAGACACTGACCATGCAAGGTGTCTAAGCTGCTCCGGTCAACGTACGGCAATGGCACGGCGGCTGTGACCCCTTGCAGCCGTACGAACTACCCATTCTCCAGCACATACACTCGTATACCCCCCCCCCATATCACATCAAGCATGAATTGCAATACTGTTTTCAGTGTGATCGCGTTCCAACACATTCGCCACATCGTCACGTGGGACGCGCTCTATGTGGTTTACCGTTCTTGGACCATCAATCCCGCCCCCATGACCAATGCGGCTATGAAAGATGCACATAAACAGCAGTGCGGCCGTTGCGGCACGTAGTACCCAGCAATGGAGTTGAGTTACACCACCACAGCTTCCCACACCTCACACCGTACATCCATGCATGGCTCTAATGACAAGGCCCCATGCCCTGGAGCTACCCTCCCTTCCCGCCCTCGCCGCGCTCCACCGAGCACCCCACGCTCCTTCAACCCCACCCCGCTGCCCCGCCCTCCCAACCCGGCCCTCGCCCCGCTGTGGGTCCCGTAGCCTTGGTTTCGCCTCCCCACCCGCCACCCCTCATCCATCCCCCCACCTGCACTCCGCCTCCTACACCTTGCAACTCCCCGCCATCACCCTCACCGCCGCCCTCTCACCCCCGCCCCCACCGGGCTGCTTCACCCCCGTGCTGCTGCTGCTGACTACCATGTGGCCGCTCCCCCCACCTCCTCCTCCACCTGCCCCCGTTCCTCCTCCACCACCTCCCACCCCTGCCTTAACCACCAACACATCCTTACCCACCCCACCTCCGCCTCCTCCCAACCCACCTCCTCCCATCCCACCCCCTCCCATCCCGCCTCCCCCTCCGTACACGTACGCCCAGGGCTCCTTGTACGCCTCCAGCTCCTGCAGCACCTGCTCCAGTGCCAGCCGGCTGGCGGCCCCGTGCAGCGTGGCGGCGGCCGCCAGACTGGACTGCGAGGCGGCCTGCAGCGCCGCGCGCTCCTGCTCGGCAGCGCGGCGCTGCTGGGACAGCTGGGAGGAGGCCTGGAGGGGGGAAAGAGGAAGGGTGGGGAGAGGGGAGAAGGGAGGGGGAAGAGAGGAGAGGGGAAGGGCGGGGAGGGATGGGGAAGGAGAGGCAACGCGTAAGAGCCGGGAGGAGGGAATGTGCATTGGGCTGCGTTTTAGGCGGCAACCGTTTATTGCCACCGTCATGATCCACCATATCATCCACCCAGCACCTTATCAGCCCACACAGCCTCCACCCCACACAGCCTCCCTGCACCCCCCGGTCCCCCCCTGCCCCCCACCTGCGCCCTGAACTGCCTGCTCTGCTCCGCCGCCTGCCGCATGCGCCCGCGCGAGGCCAGCAGCGCCTCCCGCATCACGTGCGCGCGCGCGGCCAGCAGCTTGCGGGCGGAGGCGTCGTGCGCAGCCAGCACTGATACGGCCTTGGGGGCGGGGGGAAGGAGGGGGCAGGCGGGAATAGGACTAGAGCTTAGTAGGACAGCAGAGAGCTGTGCGGGGCCTGTTGGGGGTGTTGTCATGCCCTACGGAAACATAGCCCCGGCCGACATTCCTCTTGTGCTTTCTTAGCTTAGCTGAAGAGAAATGGTAGCAGCCCCAAGGTTGTGCCGGCTCCCGTCATTTGCCCTAGTCACCCACCCCACCGCCTCCACCACCCCCAACTCCACCCCCAGCGCCACCCTCCTCCGCCTCAACCCCCACCTGCCACCCCCTGCCAGCCCCCTCCGCTTCCCCCTTTCCCCCAACGCATTGGGTACTCTACCGTGCACCCCGCCTCCCTCTCCCCCCACCTGCTGCAGCTGCTGGCACTCCTCCAGCGCGGTGCGAGCCGCCTCCTCCGCCCCATCCAGTGCCAACTCGCTGGCACGGATGCGAGTCTGCCAGCCGCCGGAGTGCGTGGAGGGGGGAGGGAAGGGGAGGGGGGTCAGCTAACACCACAACCCAGCTCCCCTACCCTCCTGCCCTACCCTACCCCGCTTCTTGGCTCTCACATTGCAATCTCTACTCGTCACCAGCTAGCCCCAACCCCCAACCGCCCTACCTTCTCCTTCATCACCCCCTCCCCCCACCCCACCCCATCCCATGGGCACCCCATGGTGAAGCCTACATGTTATACAGCTCGTCAGTTGCATCGTCAGTGTCTCATTGTTGTTTACCCCCCCCCCCCCACCCACCTGCATGTCCAGCACGGCCCCCTGCGCGGCGCGCAGCTGCACCTCCAGCGCGCCAACACGCCGCCGCAGATGGTCGTTCTGAGGGGAGCCGGAAGGCGGGAGGGAAGGCGGAGGAGGGAGGGGGGTTGGGAGGGGGGCTGGGAGGGTAGCAGGCGGAGCTGGTGGGAGGGGGAGGGTGCTGGTTTGCGTTGGAGCCCCTTGGGTTGTGGATGGGCTGTGATGCATGCAGCATTTGCATTCGCAGGATGAGCGCAACTGCCAACCAACGTTGTAGGCAGGCATATTGAACCAAGGCAGGCGTGTTTCCCGTGTAATGGGCGGCCGTACCTGTGTCTGTATGCCATCTGTGGCCGCTGCGTGAAGTCCGTTAGTTTGTTGGAGCTGCTTTTGGAGGGCAGCCTGCACGCGGGGACCAGGGATGTCGCTAGCCATGACAACATACTTGCAACATGCAACAGTAATTGGGCGCGTCGCATACGACTAGGGTGGATCTCTACTCTCTGGAGAAAGGGAAAAGTTACAGCGCGAAGCTGGAAATGCGCCATCCGACTACTCGTCCTACTTACGATTTCGGCTTCTTGCCCGGCGATGCGTTCCCGGTAGTCGCGGTCGATGGCGCATACGAGGTCTATAAGCCATTTCGTACGCTGAGCTTCGCGCTGGGAGGGAAATAAGCCAACAGCGGCCAAAGGGGCGGGTGTGGAAAGCTGGGTCGGTGACAATGTCGCCACTTCAGGCCTTCGCCGTTGAGGATTGCAGGGCTTACCCATCGCGTCCCAGCATGCCGTTGTATAAGGGTGATTGCTTTATGTCTAAGGTCAACCATCTTGATCGCATTGCGAGGATCAACCTCCTCCGTTGTCGTCCGCTGTAGGGCCCAACGACGTAGCAAATGCTTGACCCAGTTCAAGAACATATAAAGCGGATGTAGTTATTTGTGTGTATACCTTTCTTTGCTGCTGCGAAGCCGAGCTAGGCTTGCTGTCAGGGTTGGAAAGGTGTTGCTGCTGCTGCTGCAATTGCTGTGCATGCACCGGTTGTCCATCGCGACCAGCGCCCTGACGTAGTACTTCTCTGTGCTGTGCGCCATTTTGAGGGACTGCCGGAGTTTGTTGCAAGTCAGGCCAAGCTGACTTTCGCTGTTCGTTATTGGGCTGGGTCATGACCATTCTATCTGTTAAAAACGTACTGTAAAGGAAGTGATATCACTTAACGATAAGCAGTAGCTTGCCTACAGCGCGCAAGTGGTCGCTACTGCGAAGGGCCATACATTCCTGAACCATGTAATGCGTGTACAAATGATATCTTTTTTTCTGCCTGACACATGCAGGGTTTGTGTAGCCTTCCAGTTTGCAAGGCTGTGGACAACTGCCGTACATTACTTGGACTCCTATTCATAAGCTGTCAGTTTTGCTCACATCAAATGGATCAGAAGCATCTTAGGTGAATATTAAGCGCTGATGCGTCTACTGTGATTGTAACATTAAAAAGAAAGCAGTTCCATCTTGCCTTCGGAGCGTGCTCCCTGATGATACCTTGATGCTCTGCATATTCGGTAAGCACGCCTAATAAACTGCTATCTCCGTGCAAGCCCCCGTTTACAAGCTCAACTTGCTGACGGCGTCCCTGTGTATTCCTGAAGTTGAAAGAGTTTCCGCACATTGCCTCAGTCGGGCACAGACGAACACAAATGACAAAATGCGTCTTCTCCACCAAGCTCTTAGCGTTGATCACAATAGCGGTGCTTTTCCGGAGTGCCAGTTCCAGCCGTGCTCTCATCGGGTCCATGGTTGGTTCGTCAGGCGGCTTGCACAGCAACGACTGCGAGCCAAGCGAGGTGACATTGAGTGCTGCTGCTGGTCACCGTATCCTTCTTTTTCCGCACCCAGTCATCCTGTTTCTTTGCACCGGCTACCACGTTGGCGCAGGTGCATTTATCGCTGTCGGACGACCCCCACGAAATCCGTGTTGCATGGCGCACAACTTCGCTCGGGTAAGACACCAGACAAACAAAGCGTCATAATATGCCTACAAAGCTGCTTCCACGGTACCCAAGTACACCCACCTTGGAGATGTCGCCCGCCCTTTGCCCACCTAAATTGTGGGCGATCACAGGTGTCCGGCGACGGTTTCTTACGGCAGGGCTGACGAGACAGGACAGCCGCTGTACGGTTCGCCCTTGCTGCAGGCGGAAGGCAGCAGCTATTCTATTACGGTGAGAGGCTGTGGAAGGCCCAAACCCTAGTTGTACGAGGAAGAACCCTAGGAACAACCGATAGGCAAAGGACGATGTGCTTTGGATGGGGCTTGGGTTCTGGGCACCTGCGCACTTGCCTGGCGCATTTCCATGGGCGTAGCGTTCACGCACGTAGCATGACGTGACATGCACTTTGTTTACGTTTGTTCACGGTACAACGGCGCCCTACACCTGCCTTCGTCTCGCACCTCGCCACTGGGCCCTGTGCCCCCTGTGTGTGTGGGTGGGTGGGTCCGCTCCTCCGCCCGCTCCGCTCCCCACCCGCCCTCACCTCCTCAACCCGGTTCAATCCCTCCAATTCCCTTCTCTTTGAGGTCCGGTCGCCCAACTGGACAAGCTCCCCTGCCCCGCTTTGCCGTAGCTGCCCCGTGTCACTTACGTGTGTTTTGCTCCGACGTCCCTCCTCCCTACCCGCCACTTGCCACCTAGTGTTGCCACTATCACTCAACGCATGGGTTTTCTGCGCTCGCAGGAGGGGCTGATGTGCGACGGTCGCGCCCGGCGGCACCGCTTCACCGTCAACATGCACACCGCCGTCATGCGGGACCTGGTGGGTAGCGCGGGGGGGGGAGCGGGGGGAGGTGGGGGGTGAGGGGTCAGAAATACCAGAAGCACAGTCGGTGAAAATTCTAGACAGGTGCATCAACGGAGTCCCATTCCCAAATCCCGACTCATGCAGTGAGCGCATTCGGAGACACTATTCTAGAAACACGCAACTCAGAGACTTACCAATTGCTTGCTTACCAGAAACCACAGGGGGTGGGTTGGGGGCAGGCTGACCCTAGCCCTACCAGCCTGCCTGGGAGCGCTTGGGGCCTGCTGTCCCTACCAGTCTCACTAGATCTGCTCACAATATTGTTCCCAGGAACTCACTTCCCAGCCCCTTGTGCCCCTGTCACCCTGTCCCTACCACCTTCACCCGACTCCACTCCCCCGCACCGCCGCAACCCCACCCCTCTCCTCCCTCCTGACCCACCCACAGGACCACAGCACCGACTACTGGTACGGCTTCCCGGGCAGCGACCGCACCTTCCGCTTCCGCTCGCCGCGCCGGGTGGGAGCCGGGAGCAGCGGTGCCGGCAGCAGCCAGCGCTTCTCCTTCATCGCGTTCGGGGACCTGGGGGAGAGCCGCATCAAGCGGAGGAAGTGCGCCCGGTGAGGGGGGGTGCAGCAGCGCGGGGGGGTGTGAACACTGACCGTGACCAAAGGAAGACCGCTAGCGGGGGTGGTAAGAAAAACTGGCCGCGAGTAGCGGGGGTGGTGTGTTAAAATAACTGGCCGCGAGGCGAAACGTTATGAAAGATGGGGTGGTGTGTGTGTGTGGCACTAACACAATCTCCCTCCCCCTGCCCTGCCCCCCCCGCTGCAGTGCCGCTGACACCATGGAGACGCTGCTGCGGGAGGTGGAGCGGCGACCCGTGGAGCTGGTGGCGCACATAGGTGGGGGGGGGGGTGGGGAGGCAGGGGGGTGCGGGGGGGCCTGCTGTGCCCCGTCCTTCACAGCACGCCCTCTGTTGTGTGCAGTTAACACGCCTGGCGCAGAGATCGCCCCTTTCTCACATGATCCGTCCCGCCTGCTCCACCCCGCTCCCATCTCAAACGCCTCCCCCTGCCCTACGGTTAACCCGTCCTCCTCTCCCTCCTTACCTCCTCTCCCTCTACCTCTCCACCTCCTTCTCCCGCCCCCCACCCACCCAGGCGACCTCTCCTACGCCGACGGCAACCACCGCGTGTGGGACTCCTTCATGGCCCAGATCCAGCCGCTCGCCGCCCGCCTGCCGTACATGGTGGGCATCGGCAACCACGAGGCGGGCCCCTGCAAGGCCGGCACGCGGAACGACCCCTCGGGGGAGCTGCCGTACAGCCCCGCATGGGGCAACTACGGCAGCGAGAGCGGCGGGGAGTGCGGAGCCATGACGGCGCACAGGTTTGTGATGCCGGGGGATGCGGGGGAGGAGCTGGCGGCGCGGGGCGGCGCGTTTGCTTCCATGTCGTCCTCGTCCTCGTCTTCGTCGGAGGGTGTGGATATCCCCGGTACGGCTGCGGAGGAGGCAGCAGCAGGTGGGCAGGGGCGGCGGCGCAGTGCGATGGAGGCTGGTGCGGGCTCGAGTGGGGCGGTTATCAGGGCCGCTGCTCGGGAGGTCGGTGCGGAGGAGGAGGAGGAGGAGGAGGAGCAGGAGCGGTCGGCTGTCGACCGCACCCAAGCTGACGAGGCAGCCGCCGCTGCCAGCGCCGCAAGCAACAGCAGCAGTGTTAGCGTTAGCAACCGCACCAACCGCAACAGCAGCGGCAGCAATAGCAATAGCACTGCTGTCCTCGACCTGGCGACTCAGCCGCAGCCGCAGCAGCAGCACCGGCGGCCCCGCGCCAACCCGCCCTTCTGGTACTCCTTCTCCTTCGGCAGTGTGCACTTCGTGATGCTGTCCTCCGAGCACGACCTGGCGCCCGGCTCCAAGCAGCGGCGCTGGCTGGAGGGCGAGCTGGCGGGTGTGGACCGCTGCGCCACCCCCTGGCTGCTGGTGGGGCTGCACCGGCCCATGTGGGTGCGGGGGGGGGGGCAGGGAGGAGGGGGGGGAGGGAGGGAACGAAGGTTGGCGCTTGGGTTTGGAGTTGATATGGATGAGAAGGATGGGGCGGAACTAAGCCCCAAGGATGTAGTTGGGGAGAGTGTCTTGGTATGTCTCTTGGGGTTGGAACGACCGGACGTATCCGCATGCGCCACCCGCATGGGCACACCCTCACTCTCCTGCACCTCAACAACACCTCCCTCCCCCTCCCCCTCCCCTCCCCTCTTCCCCTCCCCCGCCCCCCCTGCAGGTACGTGGTGTACCCCCACAAGGACAACAGGGTGGTGGGCGAGCACATCCGCTCCGCCCTGGAGCCGCTGCTGCTGCAGCACCGGGCGGACCTGGTGCTGTCGGGGCACGTGCACGCGCTGTACCGCAGCTGCAGCGCGGCGGGGGGCAGGTGCGTGGGGGGGCGGCGGCAGCAGCAGCAGGGGGAGAGCTACGGCAGCAACAGCAGCAGGTGGGCAGGTGGCGGTGAGGGCGGCGGTCGTGAGGATGAGGAGGGCATCATGCACGTGGTGGTGGGGGCGGCGGGACACGAGCTGTCGGCGGTGGAGGATGATCAGAAGGTGAGGAGCGGGTGGGGGAGGAGGAGGGGGAAGAGGGAGGGAAAGAGGAGGAGGAGGAGGAGGAGCAGGGAGTGGACCGTGCAGGGAAGGTTTGGGGAAGGTAGGGTGGCCGCGGGAAGTAGCAAGGGAGGTACGGTCTGGGGGGTATGTCAGCTGGGCACCCCCAATGTCTTATCCCACCTCCCACCGCGTTGCCGGCACCGTTGCTGTGCTTTGCACCCTTCTGTGTCAACATCACCACCATCTCCTCATCCCACACCCGCCTACCGCCACAACCGCTCCCCTGCTGCCACAACCGCGCACTCCCCGCCGCCGCAGGACTGGTGTGAGAACGTGGTCAACGACTTTGGCTTCGGTCGCTTCGATGTTGACGGGGGCACCATGCGCGTGAGCTTCATCCTTTCCCGCGGGGGCGAGGTGGCGGACAGCGTCACCCTGAGGGCCAAGGTGCAGCCGGGCGAGGCATGCGGCAGCAGCCTGGACAGCAGTGCAGGCGGCGGCAGCAGTGCAGGCGCTGAATAGGCGGTGTGCAGGACGGCCGTAGCAGCAGCTGGCGCTAGCGGCAGCATGGTTGATGAGGCCGGCCGACGCCAGCGGCGCTAGCCGCCGGTAACGGCCGCGGTAGCAAGAGCAGCGGCAGCGGGTGCGGTAACAACAGCAGTTTATGCTACCGTATACTGAGCGGCGCAAGGTGGTGAGTG